GTGATGCCAAGCTGCGGCCGGCCCTGAGGGCGCGGGGCCGCCGGGGCGGGGATGGGGTCGCCGGCGGGCAGGGGACCCGGTTGGCAAGGGGACCTCGGCCTGGCGAGCGGGAGCACCGGCGGTCCGCGGCTGACACGCGGGGTCTCCCTTCACGCGTGCGCGGAGTGAAAGAAGTTGGAGAAGACCTGGGCTTCTGGGGGTCTGCGGGCGGTGGGTGGGGGGTGGCAGTTCACTCGGATCCCCCATCTCGGAGCCCCAAGTCTGGGCCTCGGAAGCCTCCTGCTGCAAAAGCCGGAGGGGCTCTCCTCTCCCTTCCTGCGGTTGGAGCCGGGCGTTCCCAGGAAACTCCTCCAGAAGTTATCAGGCAGCTTTAGGCTATCCTCAGGGACTCGCCTCAGGGACCGGGGGAGCCGTGGGGAGGGGGCGTAAAATTGTGAGATTGCAGGTAACCAGCTTTGTGTCCTCACCAGCGTCCCCCTTCATTAGACATTTGGTTGGAAGCAAGAGTTCCCAAAAAGTGAAGCGCATGGGGGGAGGGGGTAAAGGCCTTGAGCGGGGAGGGGACTGGCCCTGCTGGTCAAAAATGCCACGCTGACGGTTCGCCTCAAGTTTTGGGCCTTGCTTCCAAACATTGACTCCACAACTCCAAAAATCCGATTAGGGACCTATAAAAGCGAGATTTTCTTAAACTTCTTGGGTACTGAGATCTGGGGATTGGAAAGGGTTAAGAATCAGGGAGCGTTGGGAGGGAGAGTTGAATTGCTCAAAGTGGGCTCTGAGCCCCAAAGAGCAAACAGCCACTATTTTCTCCTTCAACGTTCTCACCTCCTCTGGGGTCTGCACACCTTACAAAGCCAGGCTTTGTTGCCAGGTAGGATTTCTCGCAGCCTGCTTCATCTGTGTCTGGGGTGGGAAGGGCCGAGGGTCGCCCTGCCAGCCCCGACAAGGCTGGAGATCTCAAGCCTGCCCTGGTGTGGTGGAGCAGGGGTCCTAAACTGAGACCTTTGGGGTTTGGGGTCACAGTGACAGGGGCACCCACTGGGACCCCTGAAGCCCTGCTATGGGCTGGCTAGCACCTGTATGCAGGTTTTTTTCTTTCTCCTATGAGCAATTCCAGGAGGAGTCCTGAGTTCCCCATCTCTGGGATTTTGGTGGGGAGCCCTGCCACCTCCCCATGGACCCCTTGCAGAAAGCCCTGCTCTCCCCCTGCCATTTGCATCCAAGATGGACTCTCCGCTTCTGCTCCTCCAGCTTCCTTGTCATCATCCCTCACGCCCTCCAGCCCTGCCTCCTGCTCACGGGGTTGCCAAGCTGCGGCCTGGCCGGTGGTGGCAGTGGCGGAGTTAGACAAAGCCCCCGCCTCCCCCCGCCGGAGAGCCCCCCCAGGCGCCCCAAGTGGCGGGAAGGCCGCCAGCTCCCCAGGCCCAGGCCGCTCTTTGTCTGGTGTGGGGGCGGGGAGCTACGCCTGGCCCCAGGAGCTTCCTGGCCTCTGCCCACCCCTCCCGGCTCCCTGCACACTGCGCTCATTGTCTGCGATGCTCCGGAGACGGCCTGTGCTGACGTGGAGTCTGGTTCTCTCTGTGGCCTCCCTCAGCCGGTCCCTGTGTCTGCAGGAAGGAGTGGGCAGGAGTGGAACTCAGGGCCCTTCTTCCAACTCCCCCCAGGTCCAGACGCCCCCTCCCTTCCCAAATAAGAGATCGGCCTTGGCATAGTCTCAGGGTCACCTGCCTCTTTATCCAGGTGACTGGAATGTCAAGCTCTGAGCTATGGCTTGACTTCCCCTCAACCAAAATGGAATGATTTCTCATACCTCTTCCTTCTCCCTTTGCTGCCCCAAAACCTAACCCCAGTGTCATCGAACAGTAGGATCTAGAGCTTTCAGACCTTCTGTTGGGAAGTGTTGCCTCAAACGGATGGAGAAACTGAGGCCCAGAGAGGAAGGGCCTTGTCTAAGGTCACACAGCCAGGTTGGCACAGCTGGCACTGGCTCCTAGCCCAGGAGAGAAGACAGAACAGGGGGGCGAGGAACAGGGGAAAGGGGGCAGGCGGGGGTGCAGAGGATGCTGGGAAGTGGCTTTCACCTCCTGCCAATGTGCAGGAATCTCCTGGATGCCTGTAGTGCTGTGCCTCGCCAGGCATTTAGTCGCCTAATAGTCAGGATTGGAACCCAGGGCCGGGACTTTGAAGCCTGCACTACCCAGACCACACTCACTGCCACATCAGCAGCTCAGGAAGTTGGGATTTGGCTGATGTGGTGAGGGACCTGGGGGTGTGCCCACCCTGTCCTGTCCCTGTGCCCTGGCCACCTCACAGCCGGAGCTGTCATGGACCAAGGTAATGGGCAGGCTTGTAGTGCATCCTCATCCTGAGCAGCAGTGTCCCTGTAGCATCATCCCCACTTGAGAGGCGAGGAAACTGAGGCTCAGGATGGCACACTGCTCTGCCCAGTTCAAGATCCAAATGCATGTTCCCTGAGTGCGCAGCTCAAGGTCGAGCATAAACCTGGGCCCCTGTGGGGAATCCAGGGTAGGTCTGAGACATCTGGGTACTGTCCCCAGCTCTTGGACAGAGGGACAGCATTGGGGTGGCTAGCTTCCTGTGCTAGCCTTTCTGGGCTATGTGCCCCCCTCCCCCATCTGTGTCTCCACAGCAGGGGGCTTGGATCCAGTGTTCTCCACGGCCCCTCGCAGCCCCCTCGGTCTGCTCTCCTGAACTAACTTCCTCCCTGCCCCTCCCCTCGCCCACACCAAGCGAGCAGCTGGTTGGTCTGGCCAGCCTGGCACCAGCTGTCCATCCCTGGGGCCAAGTCTGCAGAACCCGCTGTGTGCGTGAGAGAGAGACCATTTGGCTCTGGGGGTGGCAGGCGGGCAGCTGCCGAGGAGGACTAGGTAGCTTCTCCATGGTTACCACTGTTTGTAATTCTGCAGGACATCCTTTACCCACTAATGGCCACTCGGACACCATTATGGGTCTGCATGCTCCCAGCCATGGACCCCCCACCCCTCATGCAGGAGTCACATTCTGAGCTGGGCTCTGGCCCTGACAGTGTCTCCGGATGCAAGAATGGTATATTCCATATGTGGGACCTTATCCCTGGGGGCATAGACTGTCAAGAGTCTTGTCACCTCTTTGCGGGTGATGGAGACTCAGAGAGGTTGAGGAGCTTGTCTGAGGGCACACAGGGAGGCTGTGACCTTCTCCAGATTCCTGATTTTGTGTCCAGTGCACCCATCTCCGGCTGGGGTTGAGTCTCCAATGCTCTAGGACCTTCTCCTGTCCTCACCACATGGTCCTGCAGAGATTTGGGTGCATAGGAGCAAAAAGGGTTCTGTACATAAGAAATCTTAGCCCAGTGGGGACCAGCCTCAGCAGCAGGTGGGCTCTGTGGCACTGAGGTGGCTCTAGGTTATCAACCCTGGGGAGCAGGACCCAAGGAGAGAAGATGGCAAGGATTAGGCAGCGAGCAGCAGGAAATTTTACCTTTGGTACTGTCCCTCCTGCGGAGTTGCTGCAGGGATGGGAGAGAGTTCTGTGTTGATGGTCCGTCTGCTGTGGTTGTTGGTCCATCTGCTTGCCTTTTAGCTACTTATTTAGCTACTTATTTTAGCTACTCTATTTACTTAGAGGAGCCAACAGCTCCTCTAAGCTGGTGTCAGGGCCATGGCCAGTCAAACTAGAGGTCAGGAGCAGGGTTTTTATCCTGCAAAGACAGAAGACCACAGTTGGTGGCATGGGTCTCGGGCAGAGGGGTGCTACAGGACCCAGAGTCCCCACCTTGGATACCACCAGCCAAGGCCATGTGATTCCTAACACTTCTCTCCTCCCTGTAGCTGGGAGCGTGCACTCACCTTCTACCAGTATGGCGACATCCTCACAGTACCGCCAGCTGCTGAGTGACTACGGGCCACCTTCTCTTGGCTACACCCAGGTATGGCAGTGGGGGGTGGGGCATGGCAGGAGGGCCCTGGGGTGGCCTGGGCACTGAGGGCCAGGACTGCTGTCCACCATCAGGGAACGGGATGAAGGAGCAAGAAGGATGGAACAGAACAGTCCTTTCCCACCCCGAGGCCCTGCTTGGCTCACATTCAGATGAAGTATCAGCATGGAGGGTCCACGAGGACTGTTTCCTGGGGACCCACCAGGTGGTGGGGGAAGGGATGGCACAAGGAGGGGCCAGCAGCCCCAAGCGCTTCAGTTCCTGCTGAGGCCACCGCCCATGTGGCTCCCCGGTGGCTCTCCTTGCTCCTGTTTCCTGGGTAAGGAAGGCCCGAGCTTGACTCTGGATCTCTAAGCTCAGACAGAGGAGAGGGCCCTGTTCCCAATGGCTCTCATGGGGTCAAGGTGCGTGTCACTGAGAGATGCTGGATACGAGCGTGGCCCCTGAGCAAGGCAGCGTGGTTCACACCTGCTTGCACCACTTATGAGACTGCGCCCCCCCACGTGGCAGCCTCCCAAGACTCAGTTTCCCCATCACCCCAGTGGGGATGATTCTAGTGCCAACCTCACTGGCTGGCGAAAGCAGTCATGGAGAAAGCCACCCTGAATCTACAAGGGCACATGGCCCCTGGGGAGGGCTCAACCGGGCTCCAGCCCTCTGTGCTAGGGTCACCATCTGGAAGATTCTCTTCCTGGGCCAGACCCTGTGCCAGTGTTCCATAGTTGCCATGGAGGCGTTCCTTGGCCCAGGTGGCCGCCCCACTGAGCACTGGCTGCCTGGCCATATCCTGCCAGGCCGTCCTGTCCCCAGGCCTGGGCCCAGGAGCGGGACCGACAGAAGAAGCAGTGGTGGCGCACTGCACCCTGGCCATGCAGCAGTGGGGGGAACGTGAGGCCAGGCCCCAGCATGATGAGGCTGAGCAGCCAGACAGAGACAGGCCAGGCCTCGAGGCCAGGAGACAGAGGCGGCAGAGGAGGAAGGAGGAGCAGGCGAGGGCCTTGCAGAGGGAGCTGGCCGCCCTGATGCAGCTGTGCGAGGAGAAGGCTGAGGAGCAGGAGGCAGTGGCCTCGGCCCATGGGCGCACAGGGAACCTGGCCTCACTGACCTGGGTGCTTGCCTGGGGGCTGGCAGGGGTGGTTGGAGGAAAAAGGTTTTCTGTGGAGTAGAACCTGCTCGTGGGGAGGACAGGGTGAATTGCACACATTCTGTCTCTGTCTGGGGGCCTCTAGCAATTGTCGTGGTCCTGCTGACCCCACATGTGGCCTCCAGCTCTCCACTGGCTCTGGGCACTCAGCTCTGGGATTTGCTTTCTCATCCATCCTGATCCTAGGAAGTTCTCTGTGAACTCTTTTATTGGGACAAGCCAGTCTTTTTTTGTTTGAGGTGATAAACGAGCTTTCTGGAGACTGCTAGGTGGAGAGTGAGAACCAGCCTCACTATGTGTAGTTGTCTGCCAGCTGTCCCTGTGCTGTGTCCCAGCAGAGCCGGCAGCCCTGGGAGTCCAAGCTCGGGGAGTCACTCCCCCACCTGCCATGAGCTAGGGGCCTCTTCACTCCCTGGTGTGGTTGGGGTCCTGACCTTGGCACTGGTTAGGTTTCAGTCCACCTGAACCCATTTCTTTCTGATTCTAGGGAACTGGGAGCAGCCAGGTGCCTCAAAGCAAATATGCAGAGCTGCTGGCTATCATCGAGGAGTTGGGGAAGGAGATCAGACCCACCTATGCGGGGAGTAAGAGTGCCATGGAGAGACTAAAACGGGGTGAGCCCTGGGCCTTGGGACTCCCCTGCCAGGTGACCCCTGCAGCACTGGCCCATTAACTGTTCTGAGAGATTTTCTGGGGAATATATTGGAGGATGGGCTAGGGAGGGGTGCTCTGACCCACTGGGGCTCATTTGCTACAGAATCTCTGTCTGATGTAGAAGCACCTGGGGGGCCAGGGGGATTTGGTGGGGAAAGGGACGTGGAGGCCAGTTGTCTTTGGATGGTGTTTCTAAGAAGGGTGGCCCCAGCCAGTGAGACCTCCTCACTTGTGTGCTGCTAGAGAGGGTCTGCTGGCTTTCAAGGGAATCTTTTTAGACCTCAGATCCTGAAGCCCTGTCTCCTGCCTGTTCCTGTTGGCTGACACTGGTCCTAAGGAACAGTGGGAAGCCACATACGGCAGGCTCCCTCCTCTGAGTGGGGCTGTGACTGTGGTGGTGGCCTAGGGTTCAAGTTTATGGGTATCTGCAGGGGCCTGAGGAAGTGTGTGAGTCTGTCCTAGGGTCTGGGGAGGGAGGGTTAGAGCACTCTGAAGTTCTTGAATGGTTGAAGAGGGTGGGACGATGGGAAGATGATATCACAGAGAACAAGGGAGTCACATCAAGGTGTGACTGACCAGCTGATTTCAGGAGGTTGCTGCCTCATGAAGTAAAAGTGAATAGAGGGAGAAGAGGATTTCTATTTTAGAAGGTGGCAGTTCAGAGGAGCCATGGCCCATGTGATCAGGAGGGATTTGGGAATTCTCAAAAGTTTAGAGAAGCAAATTTGGAGAAAAAGGGGAGAGGAACATTCTTTGGTTATAAATCTATGGCATAAATGGGGAGGCTGCTTTGGGGGTCATGACTCCCCAGTGGTAGCTAGGGCCAGCTGAGAACAGGCTGCTACCAAGAGCAGGGACTTGGTTAGTGTTCCTGAAATCTTGGTTAAGAAATAGACAAATTGCACAGCTAAATTAGGTACAACCAGGGACAGGCTTAGACAAAGGGGAGACTCGCAGAGTTGAGAGGCTGTTTCTGAGGAGGGCCTGGGAAGGGGACATGGAGCCCACCCCTGATCTAACCCAGAGAGTCAGGTGGGCATCACTCTGCCCCCAGGGCTGCTGTTTGCAAGTCAAAGGAAGCAAACCAGTTCTGGTAACTGGAGGGTTGGTTACCCAAATAGAAATTCCTGGGAAGATACTGGACCCCAAAGTCTAACAGGTGATTTGCACTCACTCAGAAAAGCCAGTTGTTCACACCAACACATGGATATGCCAAGTGACCACTTGAGGGCACATCCTGGATGGTGACCACTACAGGACACATCCTGGGTGAGCTGCTGGTCCCATAGTAACGAGGAAGACCTAGTGCCATCCCCTGGCCAACAGCCAAGTCCATCCTCACCAAGCTGATGTCATGACAGGGTGAAAAAGGGTAATAGAGGGAATTGAGGGAGTGCGGGAGTTAGGAGCGTTGTTCATAGGTTGGCAGACTACAGCCCATGAGCCAAGAATGGTTTTTACCTTTGTTGTTTTTTTTGGCAGCTGGCCAGTATTAGGGATCTGAAGCCTTGACCTTACTTAGTGTTACACTGTACTCTTACCAACTGAAACAACTGGACAGCCTTGTTTTTACAGGTTTTTTTTTTTTTTTTTTTCCTTTTTTTCTTTTTTACTGACCGGTAACGGGATCGCAACCCTCGGTGTCGTGCCCGTACCGGGGACCGGCAATGGGATCGCAACCCTCAGTGCTGCGCCCGCACCATGCTCAGCCAGTGAGCAGGAACCTGTCTCCACATGGGATCCGAACCCTCGGCGGGAGCGCCACCGCGCTCCCAAGCGGCACACTCTCCAGTGCGCCACCGGGCCGGCCCGTTTTTACAGTTTTTAATGGTTAAAAAAAACATGATTTGAGGACATGTGAAAATTATGTGACATTCAAACTTCATGGTGTTGGCCCATGGCTCACTCGGGAGAGTGTGGTGCTGATAACACCAAGGCCATGGGTTCGGATCCCATATCGGGATGGCCGGTTAGCTCACGGGGTGAGCATGGTGCTGACAACACCAAGTCAATGGTTAAGCAACCCTTACCGGTCATCTTTAAAAACAAACAAAGTTAGCTCACGGGGTGAGCATGGTGCTGACAACACCAAGTCAATGGTTAAGATCCCCTTACCGGTCATCTTTAAAAACAAACAAACAAACAAAAACTTTAGTGTTCATAAATAAAGGCTTATTGGAACATGGCCATAGCCATTGTCTACCTATTGTCTGTGGCTGCTTTCATGACAGAATGGCTGAGTAGGTGTGACAGAGACTGTGTGGCCTGAAAAGCCTAAAATATTTGCTGTCTGGTCCTTACAAAGTTTTCCAAAGCTCTGTGATAGATTATAAGATTTGTGAGGTATGGGCTCCTAAGTTTTAGCTGCTCATGATTTGGGGATGTCATTTATAATGCCCTCTGGGAGTCATGTATTAGAAGGAATGGAATCCTTGGTGTCTCTTAAAGTGAGATCAATATTTCATGAAGTTCACTAAAGGCAAAAAGAAAAAGAGGCTGGCCGGTTAGCTCAGTTGGTTAGAGCACAGCTTGTAACGCTAAGGTCACAGGTTCAGATCCTCATACCAGCCAGCCACAAAAAAAAAAAAAGTAACCACCAAACCATAGAGATAAAAGATGGGGGGAAGTTCATAAGGCAGAAGGTGGCTGAAGTATCCTAGGGGCAAGGTTGTCACAGTGGACCAAGAGTTGATCATTTGTGAGTAGTAGTCCTCTTGTACCCTGGCATCTGCAGGCTGGAAGTATTATCTTGTCTACTTGACACTGGTCAAGCCCTTTCTAGAATTTAGAATATGAAGAAGCCAGAGAAAAGTCTCCACAATGGTTGAAACTTGAACTTGGGTAAAGACACATTTTTCCCCATCATCCAATGGATGTCACAAAAGGATAGCTTGCTGGTGCCACCTTGGGCACAAGAAGAAATTTTTAGGGAGACATGATGAGTTTTAACTAGGAGAGAAGGGCCTTCAGAGGTGGGATGGGATTTGTTAGTGCCCCTTAAAGCCGTTCACGTGTTTGGGTTGATTGGACATAGGTCCTGAGTTCCCTTCCAGTCTGAGGGTTGTACAAGGATGGGTCCTTTTCCTCGTACAAAATGGGTACTGCTGGCCGGGTTCTGTGAATTGGATGATCCCCCTCCTCTGGTTCTCTTTCAGGCATCATTCATGCCAGAGGACTGGTTCGGGAGTGCTTGGCTGAAACGGAACGGAATGCCAGATCCTAGCCACCTTGTTAGCTTTGAAGGTTTTCCATCTTTTTACAAGATGAGAAGTTACAGTTCATCTCCCCTTTTCAGATCAAACTCTTGTTTTCAAAATGGTAACAGTTTGGTTTTTCCTTCCATGGTTCAGTAGGCTCCGAACCTACAGTCTCAAAATTTGAGAAAAGGTTTTGCAGTTAATTAGGATTTGCATTTTAAGTAGTTAGGAACTACCCAGGTTTTTTTGTGTTTTTTAAGCATTGATTTAAAAGATGCACGAAAAGTTATCTTACAGCAAACTGTAGTTTGCCTCCAAGATATCCGTGTCTCCCTTTAATTTTCTCTTTTGAATGTTTCCCATATTGTTCTTTGTTCCATTTCATAAGCTAATACAACTCCAAGGATTTTGTTTATAATGCATACTGACAGCACGCTATAGGTCCTGTTTGCCATACAGTGTAAATTCTGCTTAATGTAACTTCTTTTTTGCTTAAGCATTTGCATGACTATTAGTGCTTTGAAGTCAATTTTAAAAATGCACAAGTTCTAAATACAGAAGAAAGAGCAACCTACCAAACCTAACAAGGCCCCCAAAAGTTTTCATACTAAGACTGTATGTAGATTTCAGTTCTGTGTTTACTATAATTGATCAAAACATCTGGAAGAAAATGACTAAAACAGTTTGCATCTTTGTATGTATTTATTACTTGATGTAATAAAGCTTATTTTCATTAACAGTTTGTATTGAGATGTGGGTTCCTTGAATTCTTATGTGGTGTTTTAAAACAGCCTCTCAAGCAGAGGTAAGAGACACCTGTCAAAGGGTATTTTCCCACCTGGCCCAGAGACATTGTTTGTGATGTCATTAGCACAGTTGGCTGGGCAAAGAATGTTCGCATAAGTCAGAGGTAGGGATAAGGTGAAGTTGCATTATGGGTGTATTTTAACTGCAGCAAACTTAAGTGTATGCTAGGAAAAAAAATAAGAAAAATAATAGAAGCAGTGTTGACTTGGCCCACTGTCCCCCCAGTTAGGCCATTCTTAACTGTGAGCGTTTTCTGGTTGCTTCAAGAATCTATTTTTCATATAATGTGGCCACTAAACTCTAGCTACCTCATCTGGTGCTCACTGGAAGAAATTATCTGCTCTGGTGCCGGGAGAAAACCGGCTTGCGCTAGATGTGTTGAGAACCCATGTGGTGGTCTCCAACAGTGCCTCCCAGAGGGCTTTTGAGTTAATTTTTACTCTATACCTTAGGCACTAACCTCCAGTAACGAGGATTTGCCTTGGTGAGGGGTAGAATAAGACATGAGGGATATGATCAGTTATGCAGGCACGAGGCAGGGTTGCAGCCATGACAAGTCTAAAGGCTGGTAAGAATGGGTCTTGGCGGAGTGGGCTTCTATCTCCTTCAAACATGTGGCAGCATATTGCAAAGGTACAAGAGAGGAGACAAATTGAGGCCTCTGTCCCTCTTGTTCACAGCTCCAAATTTCCTTTTCCATTATTACTGGTTTCTTACGTATCATTCCAGAGACTTGAACTTCTAAAGGGAAGTTGGGTTGAGGAAGGGTCCTGGACACTCCAACAGGAAATAGAGAACCCTGCATTAGAGTGCTTAAGCTTCCACAGCAAGTCATTCCAAGGGGAGAGTGTCTTAATCGGCAGCCTCAGAGATAAAATTTTATTTGGATATGTGCACTGGGCATCCAGTCAGGGCCTGCTGGATGGACTGGTCTTCACTGCAGAAATGGGGCAGGACCTGCTTCCAGCAGCCAGACAAAGGACCTCTCCCTTCAGTTTCCCTACTTGTTTTATGTGTGAACTCTGGATGAGTTCTAATAAGTCAACCTATTAACCATGGCTAAAATAAAACTGTAAAGTCAAATCCAGCTTGAGTGATGCAAATTCACAAACAAGTCAGGCTCTGGAACCTCATGTCTTGTAAATCTATTTGCAAGTCAACATATAGGGAATGATGTATGTATTTCTACATCAGAGATGTTTCGTAGCAACATAGTCTATTAAGTTAATGAAGTAAATGGACAGATAAATTCTTTCACCATCTTGTTTTCTTTTATTCTCTTAACTTGACATGAGGATAACTAAAATCTAAGTATCACGGAGTAGTGCCTCCCAGCAGATGAAAAGGTACCAGTAAATGCTATTAATGTTTGTCTCAGTTCTCTGGCTCACCATAAAAATAGACATTAATGCTTTTTGCAAAAAAAATAAAATAAAATTTCTCATCTTTTATAATAAAATAGAATTACACAACATAAATGTACAGCTTAAAAAGGTATGGGGACACCCTTCTAACTACTGTCCAGGTCAAGAAATAGAACTTTGTCCTCTCCAAATGCCCCTCCAAATGTTACACCACAATGACAACTTCTTTCCTTCTCTCAAAAGTAGCCATGACACTTTTAAAATAATGACTTCCTTGTGTTTCTTTACAGAAGTGTGCATCTCTATCCACTATAGCTTAGTCTACCGTTTAAAAAACTTTGATGTCTTTCAAGTCTGTCAAGATTTCTTTAAAAGCTCCATAACAATGCTAGTGATGGAACTTGTCACCATTATTCCCTGGAAGCTTCCCAGCAGATTCTTTCAGTCAGAATCTGCAATTCTTTTCTCGGTGGACATTTTGCTTGATTCCCATAGTTCTTTCAGTAGTTTCTTTTTTTCTAGGGTTTCCTTTGCTCTTTTTTTCCTTTCCTGCTTTTTCTTCTCTGCCTCTCGTTTTTCTTTGTAAACAAGACTGTTTTCACCATTGTAGAAAACATCCACTTTTTCTTGTAGGATTTTCCGAGCTAGCTTTCTGTTCTGATCAATTGATCTTGTCTGATGGCACTGTAAGAGATAATGTTTTATAATGTGAAAACCACAGGATGCTAAGATGGACAGGACCTCAGAAGTCATTAATTTCAACCTATTTGCTTTACAGATAGGGACAGGCCTGGAAGGCAAAGCCACTTTTCAGGAGTCTCCATGAGTCAGTAACTGAAGACCAGACCCTTTCCTGCCTCTGCCCGGTACACATGATCCTGCATCCCACCTGTATTAGGTGGCATTCACTGTAATTGTCTTATAAATTAGGAGCGTTATTTTTGCTTAGAAGCAACAATAGCCTCCAAATAACTTAAATGAGGTCCCAGAATAATTATGAAAACATCAACCGATATATCTAACTTGTGGACATAAGTATAAGTATAAAAATCTTTCTGAAGGAAGAAAATAGCATCTTTATTATTAGTCGACCATAACAGTCATTATATTATGCCTTAGTTTATTATAGGTAAGTGCCTTGCAAAGCTGTTTGATATAAGAGAAATTCTGAGAAATTAGGGCAAAAGATTAATACTAAAAGCAAATTTGAAGTTATATAAAACATAGGTTAAACAATTATGTCAGGTTTCAGAATTTTGTTACTCATGATTGACTTTTTTTCAAGGAGGAAAAGAAAAGCGATTGAGGTTTTAACTAATATGCTCTTGACTCAAAAACTCAGTGAAGTACAGCTGTTAGGAACATGGACTTTGGGTTTGGTCTGAGTTGACTCCTATAGTAGTAGGACCTTGGGCAAGTTACTTTAATCTCTCCGAACCTCAGATTCCACATCTGTACCATGATGGAAATAATGAACATGGGGTTGTGAGGACTTAGTTGATATGTGCAAAGTTGCTTAGGATAGTGCCTACCACGTTTACATGATATATAAGTAATTGTTAGTATAGGGAAAACTGCCTTCACTATCTCTTTTCTTTGCTGTCCGTATGGCTTATGCTGCTTTTAGGGCCCTCTGTCAATACGTGTGTAACAAAATGGATTGGCAGTTCCACTGACTGGGCTTGTCTTTCAGAGGCAGTGGGGCTACTACTACCAAACCAGGAAGCAGGTAGAAAGCACTTCACCACTTCCTAGAGGTTCAGAGTATCTTGAAAGTTGGTGATATTCTGATCAGTGTTTTGGTGTATATAAAGAAGACTTCTACAGGTAACTGTGCACAGCATTTTTTCTTCTGAGGCTGAACATGGTTTGCCTCCATTATCTCACTTTCAGCCCTCCTTTTCCAGAAGGTGAAGTATCACTGACATTTACCAAAGGGACACAGGGACATGGAGGATATGGCCATCCTAAAGTTAATCAGCCAGGTCAGCTTAAGGGCTGAGACTGCTAGCAGACAATCAGGGCCTGCTTACAGCCTATGCAGGGATTTTGAGCCCAAGCAGTGTTGCAGATCTCTGCAGCCATCCTGCAGCTGGAGTGGCTGAAAAGAACTGTGCTGCCTGGTGCCTGCCTTTATCAGCCACTGCTTAGTGCTCTCAAGATGCTGCTTCCCGGGCAGTAGCCAAACACCAGCACTGTCTGCCAAATTCAAGGACGGCATTAATACCGTGGCTCCAAAGGATCCTGGCACCAGACCTCTGAGGGAGGAATGGCTCAGGGCATGGGACAAGATCTGCAGTGCCCTCTATTGACCAGGTCAGAAGGAGAATGCACTTCAGCCCATCACCACTGCACTCATGAGAAATCTACTGTGGCTGCAGAACCCCTCAGGGTGGAGAGTCTTCCCCCCAGTGGTCTTCTTCCTCTACCTTTACAACGATGCCCGAGGGGATGTGCTTCAGCACCACACAGTTGCTTGTTTTGTTGGTTGCTTGGCCCCCTGGACCATGTCCTTTTACAAACTGTTCTTCGAGTTCATTCTCATCCAGGGACAGTAGAGCAGGGCGGTCCTTCTTGCCTGCCATCTGGACTAGAGTGACAGCTATTCCTGGAGATAACAATGTCAGCTTCTCCCAAAGCCTGAGTCCCCATGGCACTGTGCATATTCTGGTCAGTTGTGTAGGAAAACGAAATAAACCTGAGGTGTTCATAAAGTGGTTCTGCTTGTTCAGGACCTGAATTAGACAAATAAAGAGGACAGCTTTTTGGTAAGATGCATTTGCTCTCAAGATTATACTACAGATTCTAAGACAGCTTTTTATAAAACAATTCAAACGTGATCCATCTGTTACCTAGGGTACTTAGGAAATTAGTGGAGACATTATTCAGCAAGACACACCTCTCTCCAGGCTTGCACTGTCTACTATGTTCTTAAAGCTAATAAATATTTTCTTATAACAGACCAAAAATATCTTCAAAGCACCCTAAGGTGCTGTTTTCTCAGGAAGGAGAGATTTCGAGTGTGAAATTCAAAGGAATGGGGCTATAATGTGATAAAGAAATATTAAATACTACAGCAGACAAGAATTAGGATCTGAGTCAAGTGACAGAATTTAAATATTTGAGAATCTTTGAAATCAGATGTAAAGACCACAGTATGAGAGTCTATTTTATGGCTGAGCTTAAACAGTCTGACACAGTAAACATCACTATCAATCAATGTCATGATTGTTGTTTTTTAATGTTTCCAGTTTCATGGATTTGAATAGGAACATCTGTTCCCTTGGATGCACTGCTGATAATGTGATCCAACTGGTACTCATCGTTAGAACTACCAAGTCAACTAATTTTTATTAAGGTGCCTGTTAGGTTCAATATACCATGCAAAGTATAGTGAGGGATATGAGATGAAAAAGAGCTAGACTGTCTTCATGGAGTTTATAGGCTAGTTAGAGAAAATATTCAAAGAGAAAGCATTATTTAACAATAAAGGATTTAAATTACTCAAGATATACCATAAGGTTGAAATGACTTAGATGACAGATGAATGGGACAGAGAATAATAACTGAGGATATGGCAAATCTTTTTTTTTTTTTGTCCTTTTTGAGACCAGCCGCACCACGCTCAGCCAGTGAGCGCTGTGAGCGCACCGGTCATCCCTATATAGGATCCGAACCCGCGGCGGGAGCGCCGCTGCGCTCCCAGCGCCGCACTCTCCCGAGTGCGCCACGGGCTCGGCCCTCTTTTGTTTTTTTCAAGGGGTGAAAGGCAGAAGAATCTGAAAGGTCTCCCACATGAACAGGGGTGAGTCACAACCTGGACCTGTTTTCTCAACTGGAAAATGGGTGAATTAGCCTTTTCCCACCCATCCCACAAAGGCTTAAAAAAGATGGGAGAAAAGAGTATTCCGGAAGGGGCTTTGTTGACATCTTTTGAGGCTTGAGACTGTTTTTTAGTAAAATCTCTGTCACCCAGGTGGACTATGGGAACTACAAATGTGTCTTTACTGAGGACTATGCAGGCAGTAAACACACGTGCTTCTCTTTTTAACAACTTCTGCCTGTGAGGCTCTAGTCTCTGTTACCATTTGAAACCTTGTAAGTTATAGTCAAGGCAACTGGTCTCTGACACAGGTAGAAGCCAACTTCTTTTTTTTTTTTTTTTTTAAAAGATGACTGGTAAGGGGATCCTAACCCTTGACTTGGTGTTGTCAGCACCACGCTCAGCCAGTGAGCGAACCAGCCATCCCTATATGGGATCCGAACCCGGGGCTGAGCCACGGGCCGGCCCAGAAGCCAACTTCTAAGGCAACTGCACATCCAGCAGATGACTCCACCAACCAGCTTTGCTCTTACACATTGTCACCTTTGACCTCTAACATCTACACACATGATATTAGGCCTTGCTTACTTGTAAATATGTGCATTTCCTATGTCACTTTAGATGAAAGTTTCTACCTTAGTAATCGGTATCACTGATACTGAGATGACTCTGGTCATCTTTGGAATGACAATACATTTTCTTCATCTCTAACTCTGCTATTTCTGTGGGAAACAAATAGAATGTAACATACATTCCAAGCCTTATGTCAATCCTAGCTTTTGATTCCATGACTGACATTATGGTCTACCATATCTTCTTTTTGTGACATTCATTGTTCTGTCAGTCTCCAGTGGGTGATAATTAAGATGGTACTGGCAAAGTGCTCCATGGCTGTGAAGGGATATATTTTGAAATAGAATGTGCCAGTAAAAGTGGTGCTTTAAAAATTGGTTTTGGTTAATGTGTGAAATATTTTAGAAGTATCCTCAAGAAAAGATAAATGATAAACCCAGGCACTTTCTCTGAAATCTCTACAATAAAGAATCAACTCACCTACAAATGATTAAGTGAATAGACTAAGTCAATGTCCAAAACTTCCCTTTATTTTTGCTTTCAATTCACAGAACAAAATTCCTTTGTGTACCAGTCAGCTTCTAGTTCCTGGATGAGATTCATTACAGAACACAAGCCCAGTGCCTCTCTTGAGGTTTCTCTTCCGCTAGCTAGTGAATGTGACCGGGCAGGGCAGCATTGGTATATAGTGCAGTGACAAAGGGAGGAAGCAAGTCTGAGACAAGGCGAAACTCACAGACAAAGGATGGAGCAGAGAGTGCTTTTATCAGCTGCTTTGTCACCAGCCCAGTGTTTCAAATCTCTACCTTTCTGCCCTAGTTCAGAGCTGACAGACACACTGGAAGGTCTCCCACCCAACTGGAGTTCAAGTTACTGGCAGCTTTGTTTAACAGCTAATTCTAACAGCCAATCAGACAATTCTAGACACTTTTAGTATCTCCTGGAGCTTTGGCCCTACTCCAATGACTGCTAAAAATGACAAACACACCCATGATTCCACCTCCCCAAGGCCCAAAGACGAATACATATCGGATTTCAGTTTTTGTGATACCCACAGAGCAACCCAAAGTCTTTGGAGAACAATAAAAGCAGCTCAAATTATAGTTCATCATAACATTAAAAAAGAAAAATGGTAAAAAGAAGTGCTAGTAAGGGGAAACCAGCAGTCATGACAGCTTTGCCCTAATTTCTTTCTTGAACGTGAGCTTTAATTTAGGGCTGGCTCTTTACCCTGATTTTCCCTTCAGCTCTACTTTTCCTTGATGATGGCTTCCAAGCTACACAGCTGATCACAGTTTAAGTTAAAGCCCTTCTCATTGTCTGAGTCTCTTCTAAGCTGGTCAATTTCAGAGATAATAGGTCTGAGGACTTTACAAAAGGAAATTTAATTTGTTCAATGAATCTTTTAAACATCTGCTGAGTGTCATGCATGGGCCTTAGGGAGCCAAGGGAGACTGTAGCATAAGAGAGAAATTAAGACGTCCATAAATACAATACATGCCATAGCCCACAAGGGATAACATGCAATAGAGCAGTGGTTCTCAAACTTTAATATGTCCCCAAATCACATGGAGTGCTTGTTGTCAGGACTTGGAAACTGCATTTTACAAAGTGCCTCTCTTCATTACTGGATCCAGCTAGCACACATTCCCTCCTCTAGCTTCTATAATCAACCCAAACCAAAAAGGACATCTAGCTACAGGGATGGTGTGTTCAACTCTGCAACAAGGCCTGTGACTGGAGCAAACAGTCACAGATGAAAACTAGATGCAGCAAGACGATGCTGTGTCAACAGCTTTAATGCTCTGGAGAGAGGTAAAGAAGATGGTAATGCCTTTCGTTTGTGTCTCTAAGAGCGATAAAGAATATTTGAATTGATTTTCAGGAAAGCATAAGATTTCAATTTCTGGACCTGCCTTCAGGATACCATTTATCTAAAATTCACTTTATTTTTTTATAGGAAGGTAGAATACTAGTTTCCCTTAGCCACAACTTTCATGGTATATCAACCTTGCAGAAACTTCATTAAAATTAATCGAAGGAACAGATGTGGAGACTAACTGAAATAGGGTGCTTTAGGAAAGATAATTGTTAAAGCTCTCACCAGCCAGTCTCACCACTCAAACTTGAATGTGCATACAAATCACCTGGGAGTCTTGTTAACTGTGATGCTGGTTCATTTGGTCTGGGGCGGGGCCTGAGACTGCATTAATAACCAGCTCCCAGGTGAGGCTGTTGCTGCTGGTCCAGGGACCACACTTTGAATGGCATGGCTAAGGGCTTTCAGCAAGGGTGCTGACTATATACTGGCACTTAGGATTGTCTGACTGCTTGATGAGAGTCCTAGCATCATGATGGCAATGATTGAGATGGAGAAAGGTGCAAAGGAGTGTGATGGGAGGGCAAGGAAATCATCTAGATAAAAGAATTAAATGAATATTGATTTGAGCTAGCAGAGAAGGTGACATGGCAACAAGGGGATTGAGAAATGTTCATCTGAAAACAAAAAACACTACACCACCAAAAATGTTGCCTCAATTGTGTCAATGTTCTAGAACAGTGTTGTCCAACAAATATGCTAGCCACATGTGAATTTCTAAATTTTCTAGTAATCGCATTAAAAATAAAAGAACCTGATGGAATTAATTTAAATTTATTTTATTTAACCCGGTATATCCAAAATATTATTTCAACATGTAATCAACATTAAAAAATTAAGATATTTATTCTTTTTTATAAGAAGTCTTCAAAATCTGGGTGTATTCTTACTTACAGCACATCTCAATTTGGTCCAGCCACACTTCAAAGGCTCAACTAGCTACATGTGCTGGTCATTGGACAATGGAGTTCTAGAATCTTGCTACTCAAAGTGTGGTCCACCGTGTGGTAGCAACAGCACCACTTGGGGAGTTTGTTTGGAATGAAGACTCTCAGGCCCTACCCCAAACCTATTAAATGAGAACCTGCATTTTAACAAAACCCTCAGGTGATCCAGAGGCACATTAAAGTTTGACAAGCATTGTAATAGAACAAAGGAATCAGCAAGTTCTTCTGGTTGCTAAGACTGACACTTTTTTTTTTTTTTTAAAGATGACCGGTAAAGGGATTTTAACCCTTGACTTGGTGTTGTCAGCACCACGCTCTCCCAAGTGAGCCACAGGCCAGCCCCAGACTGAAACTTTTTTAAAAAGCTGTTGTTTTGTATTCTTATAACATTTAAGAAGTTGAGACCAGATTTCAGGAATGCTGATTATCTGCTTATTCACAGTATTATCTTCCCCTCCCCAAGGAAAAGATGAGATGAAACCACAGTTCTGAAAACAATGACCTAATAAATTAGGACCAAATTCAGTGAGCTTAAACAGACTAATATGCAATGTTGCAGCCTTGAAAAGACAAAATGGCCAGCTGATGGCACCAGAAGCTAAGTAGGAGGAAAATGATTTTCTGAGAAATGCCTGATGATAATTGATGTTTCAAAAGTGTGTTTTGGTGCTCCCTGTAAAATGGGAGTTAAAGGAAGCCTTTATCTTTGCATCTAGTTCATCTTCCTGTTCTAGATGCCTGCAATCTTTATGAGGGCTGAAACAGCTCTCCAAATGGAACCACGGAGTACTGCAGGTCAGGCTTGAAAGACCATGTCATTTCCTAGGCTTGGGGTTTTACACTGAAGGTAAAGCACCTTTCACCCACAGTAAGTGTTTACAAAGAACAAGAAAAGCATAATACACTAAGCAGGAAATGCAGAGGTATTATCTTTGATTTTGAGGATAAGAAAAAAAGAGAATACTCTGGGTTTGGTCTAAATTTAATAGGCTTACTGCTGCAGAGGTCAAGAGACAACTAGTGAAGCATATAAAGAGAAAAGCATTCCACAACACCAACATCCCATTCATTTTTTTTAACATTTATTTTTATTTTTTAATTTTTAAATTTTTTTTTAAAAGATGACCGGTAAGGGGATCTCAACCCTTGGCTTGGTGTTGTCAGCACCACACTCAGCCATCCCTATATAGGATCCGAACCCGTGGCCTTGGTGTTATCAGCACCACACTCTCCCGAGTGAGCCATGGGCCAGCCCGATTTTTGTTTTTTTTTAAAAGAAAACTAAATCCACAGAGAATTACACCTGTCCTATTTTTGTGTATCACTGTGATTTTCTTCTATTCATGGCACCTAACAGGAACTTTATAATTATCAACTACACTATTAAAATAAAACAAACACATAAAAAAAACAGCAATAATAACACTCTACATTTTCTTCTCAAAGTCTCAAAGCTGGGCCGGCCCGTGGCTCACTTGGTAGAGTGCGGTGCTGATAACACCAAGGCCACGGGTTCGGATCCTATATAGGGATGGCCGGTTGGCTCACAGGCTCAGCGTGGTGCTGACAACACCAAGCCAAGGTTTGAGATCCCCTTACCGGTCATCTTTTTTAAAAAAAAAGTCTCAAAGCCTAAGGGCCGGTCCGTGGCTCACTTGGGAGAGCGTGATGCTGACAACACCAAGTCAAGGGTTAAGATCCCCTTACTGATCATCTTTAAAAAAAAAAGTCTCAAAGCCTATATTACCATTAATGATGCCTTGTATTTGTTTAGGACTTAAACATTTCCAAAGCAGTTTCAAATACATTATTCTATTTGATACAAATAAAGAAAGAGATGCACACCATGTGGATTACCTCAAGAAGATTTATCTTGGAAGACCATTAAGTTTTCAATTTCTGAAACTAAATTTATCCTTTCTACAGCTTGCTTCATGACCTTCATAATATCTCAAGATCTGCTCTTTTCCCAGTTCCTTAAACAATGTTAGCTCATTTTCCTTAATTTTCTCTTTTTGACTCTTCCTCTCATTATTTTATCCCAGAAAGGCCATACTGCAGAGTATGAGCTTTGTAGTCAGCATGACCTGTATTCAATGTCTCAACTCCATGGTTTACTTACTGTGCAACTTTGGCCACATTTCGTCATCTGTAAAATGGAAATAATACCACCTAGGGTGAAAACAAAATCATACGTGTTGCCACAAATGTAAAGCACTTAATGCTCATTAAATGGTAGCACTCCCTAAACTACAAAGCTGAGGAACCTCTAACATACCACATAAGTTGTGGTCTTGTGGCACAAACCCAATCTGTGATCTGATTATTTCACTGACTTTTGTTTTAGAGCTCACGGCAAAAAGGCATCTAGAACAGTGACCTGAAAACTATTTTGCTTGGTATGGCCCAATTTAAGAAGTACTTGAAAACCATGAAATTACTGAAGACATGCTATTTGGCGAGGTCATAATTCTTGTCTATAAATTCAGGTGCCAAGGAGATTATTATGATGCCAAAAATACAGCCTGATTTCCCAGCAGGCTCAAACTGAAAGATAAAACCACCTTCACTGAAGCAAGTACTGGTTTAAACATAAATATCTTTAGAAATTATGTAATATAGTAAGAAAAATCATGACAGGAAAAAAAAAATTAATGTAAACCTGGTTATTTCCTTTCATGTTTAATGGCTAAACTATAGATTTCTTTTCTTTCTTTTTTTTTTAAAGATGACCGGTAAGGGGATCTTAACCCTTGACTTGGTGTTGTCAGCACCACGCTCAGCCAGTGAGCTAACCGGCCATCCCTATATGGGATCCGAACCCGGGGCCTTGGTGTTATCAGCACCGCACTCTCCCGAGTGAGCCACGGGCCGGCCCCTAAACTATAGATTTCAACTGTTGTTTCTCATTTCTTGCTGTGGAGAAGGCCACCCCCCACAAATGACAAACTGTTTGGATATAAAAATCAGTAACACAAATTAACACCCTGGTTAACAGAAACTAAATTCCTCAGGCCATTATCAGCCACTATTATTGAATAGCCTGATCGATGTGAAAGATCTCCACTCAAAAGCTGTCCATTTGAGTTCTTCAAGACAAAGAGAAGTACTTGAGTAATTCGATATTATAATAAAATTACATGGTAATCATGCTATTATAAAGGCCATAAAATAGTGGTGTAATCTTGCTTACAAGTAGTGCAAAACCTGTGGTACGGGGGAGAGGAGGTTATTTAGATTAGATGAACAATTATTACACTTACCACATTTACTTGAATTTCTGAAGGCTTCTGTTTTCTATATTCAGAAATAATTTCTCCGGACTTCAAAAACTACTTTTTTAGCTGTTTATAATGCTTTGAAAAAGGCATCTCTTCAGTGTCTAGTGCTATTAGTCAAAGGCAATTTCCACTTTGAATATTTTAAAATTAAGACCCTACCAAAAGAGCTAACTCTAAGGTAAGAAATAAGGTGTGAGCAACCTTACCAAAATGTCACATATCAGTGAGTTAACAAGATAACACAGTTAATCACAATACCAGTTCCTGAATGTGTTGGTTTATTAAGACATTAATGGACAAAAAAAAATTACCTAAAATCACACTGCCAAAAAACAAAGACCAAAAACATACACATCCAAACTGAACAGAGCCCATCTGATTTTATAGCCCAAAGCGATGATCTACTGCCTCTTGCATGTTGAATTACTAATCACTAGAACTTGCTTTTGGGGTAAATATTTTTCTTGTACAGAAACACACCTCACTTTGCCTGGAGCTGTCTCAGGAATTCAGAATTCTTTTGTGAATCTCAATTCTTCTGAGTGCAAGATTCTAGGGTCTCAGTAATTTGATTTTGGTTAGGTGTTACATGAACATAAGGTTGACTGGTGGATTAACACAACTGGGAAGGTGGGTTTCAATTTATTTAAGCTTGAGCTCATACATATATTGATGAAGTTCTAGATAAAATTTGGATTTTTACTGTTGAAAATAATGGGAGGTATTCTTAGGAAGCTCAGATGAGACAGAATGCCTCCTGGCGGATTTGTCATTCCAAGGGCAAATTACACCTCCCGCATCCTGGCTTCTCAGTGACACCTCTGGCACACCTAAGTGATAGTACCTGCAAAGTCCCTTTACTGTGGTCCAGGACACCTGGAGGGAAATCTCAGAGCTGGCAGTACCTTAAAGGTTAACTAGGCTGAAGAATGAGGACTGAACAGCGCGTGTGAGATGGGGTGGGGGTCCACGGGGAGGAAGGCGGGTTCTCTGTGGTACTTGAAAGGCCTAGCAAGGCCATGCTGACACCTCCTGTGTGCCAAGCTTGAAACGCACCTGCTGCGGGGTCAGAGCTCCATTCGGCCCTGCTGAATAAGTAAATGAGAATCGCTGCATTCCTCCATAGCGGTGGCCTCTCTTCCTCTCCCCCGCCCACGAGTGTCTGAAGAGCCCCAGGACCGACCCTAGCAGCCTGGGGGTAAACCAGGGCGAGAAAAAACTTAGCTTAGGCGTCAGGGCCGGCTCCACCTCCCCGCCAGCGGAGCCTCATGAACACTGGTTAAGCGACGACTCGGGGACGCAAGCCGGGAAAACGCGGGCGTCCGGCTCCCAATCCTTTACTCCAGAACCCTTGACAGTCGTGGGCAGCCGTAGGGATGCCCGGCTTCTCCGCAGACGCTTACCTGGTCGCAGGACCGCCCTGTCGCCCCCAATGTTCTGGGGGAACCGGAATCACCAAAGAAGAGGGATCTCTGTCGCGTTCCTGGGTCTGCGCACGCGCCGCACCCCTGCAGTGGCTCCCTCACCTGCCAGAGGCGCATTCTTACTAATTGCGCATGCGCGAAGCTGAGGCGTCTTTCCCGCGTGGCAGCGGTAGGTTCCCAGAGAGCCAATCAGAGGGGAGGACTTGACAGCAGCCCCGCCCCCTCTCTCTTCCCGGGCGTTGGGAGAGGGAACCGGGAGGTCGACGCGCGCGCCGCGCTCGGCCGTCTCCTCCCCCTTCTGAGCAGCCAATTGCCGGCGAGACGCCGGGCGCGCGCACGCTCGCTCGAGTTAACGGTCGCGAGAGGCCGCTCGCCCGACCCTGATATCAGCAGTGGGAGGAGTTGCCAGGTAAGTGGCCGCCGGCTTGCGTGGACCTGCCAGCCACGGGGGGCAGGGAATGAAACTTAGAAGACACCGTTTTGTCGAACCTCTGAGTGTGCTGATGCGCTCGGGAGAGAGGAGAAAACGGCCACAGGAACCCACCCCACCGGAGCCCTTTGGCGTGTGGGGGCTCTGCCGGGCTGCTGTGCGCCTTTTCTAGACTCAGTGCCCTTGAATGACACCTGCGCGGCCCAATCGCAGAGCGCCCCTCCTGAGGGGCGGGGGGGCTGTGGGAGTTCTTTCATCTTTTTTTTTTTTGACGAGGTTCCCCGGCTTCCTTTTGGAATCTCGAGGATAGTTGTTGGAGCTGAGGCATGTCCTCCGTCCTACCTGCTGGCTGTAGCCTAGGCGACTGCGTGGGGTCTCCCTCGCCTCCCCACTCTGACCCGGTAGCCGCCACTAGCCATTGAGGTCTGGCTGTGAGCGTGAGAATGTCAGGATCTGGCCTCAGCACCTCTGAGGTCACCCCTCCTCGCCCCTCAGCCTCCAGCAAAGCAGACGCCTAGTTAACTTTCATATTATTTGTAGACCCACATCAGCCGTTCCTTTTCCCCAGCTCCCTTTTTTGCTAGGGGTTGGCGGGGAACCAAAAGCATCATATTTTGTTGCTGGGAAATATAGAGATGATTCTGTTCTTTTTATTCATTCTCTATCAATTTTTTTTTTCTTTAGATGTTGCATTCTATATCGGAGTGTTTGGGTTTTTTCTTTCAATTGCTTCCTGTTCTCCCTTCCCCGCTGGAGAAGCATCATTGAATTTCTAGTGGTTTTCCATCTGGATCCACTACATCCGGATTTCCTTAGCGGGGGAAGTAATAGGGTTGCAGATCCACCTCCCAGGAGAACTTGTGTTTTCCTGGTATAAGAGCAAGGTGATTTGAATCCAGATATTTCTGTTGCCAGTTGGAGGGGGCAGCCCCAGATTTTTTCAGTACCCCATTTGGCGATGTAATGGGCTGAGCCACTGGGGAAAAATCCACATAGTTAGGTCCGGTTACCCTTGGCTTTCATACCTGTGCCTGAAGTAAATGGTTCCTTGATGAGCTGTTTTTTCGAGGAGTGCTTTGGAAAACCAGGCCTTCCAAAGGGGGAGTCTAGGAGAACTAGAATCCTAGATAATTTTCCTCTGTTGCACTCCCTAAACTTTTCATTTTGTAAGCAGCAGAGGTTTTTTCTTTTTCTCTTGCTCCTTGGCTCATTTTAAAATGCATGCATTCCTTGAGAAGGAAGCTCTTTGTTTGACTTGTTATAGCCAATTTGCCTCTATATACCCAGCTTCAGTAAAATGTTAGTTGGCCTGGCAAATATTTCGTTTTTTAAGAAGCAATACATGCACAGAGTACAGAGGGCTATAGAGTGCAAAATGTACTTCAAACCAATGGGGAGACATCCGTGTTTAATAGTTTAATTGGCTCTTTTTAATACCAAATTAAAACCAAGTAATTTAGTCCTTCTAGTCATTGTATAAGTCAACAAGCATGTATACTTAGTAGAATTTATTGAGCAAATAAACAAGGCATGTAAGGATTCCAATTGTTACATAGTAGAATTGCATCTAGAACCTTGATTATTAAACACATAAAATTCTGAAGTGTTACCTGAAAAAGATGATGCTACTTTTGCAAATCACTCTTACTGTAGATTTTTTGAGATATATAATTCATATACCATAAAATTCATTCTTTTTTTTTTTTTTTCCTTTTTGTCTTTTTTTACTGACCGGTAACGGGATCGCAATCCTCGGTGTCGTGCCCGTACCGGGGACTGGCAACGGGATCGCAACCCTTGGTGTCGCGCCCGTACCGGGGACCGGCAACGGGATCGCAACCCTCAGTGTTGCACCCGCAGCGCGCTCAGCCAGTGAGCGGGAACCGGTCTCCACATGGGATCCGAACCCTCGGCGGGAGCGCCACCACGCTCCCAAGCGGCGCACTCTCCAGTGCGCCACTGGGCCGGCCCTAAAATTCATTCTTTTAAAAGTGTACAATTCAGTGGTTTTTAGTATATTCATAAGGTTGTACAGCCATCACCACTGTCTAATTCCAGAACTTTTCATCACCCCAACAAGAAACCCCATACCCACTCCCACTCTCTCTTTTCCCCAGCTCCTGGCAACCATTAATGTGCTTTCTGTCTCTCAGGAATTGCCCATCGTAGACAATGTGTATAGTTGGAATCATACAGCATGTGGTCTTTTGTGACTGATTCGTTTTTCTTAGGACACTATTTTCAGTGTTCATCTATATTGTAGATGTACAATTTCCTTTTTATGGAAAGAATCAGTGCTAAATAATATTCCTTTGTGTGATATGCCACATTTGTTTATCCATTCATCTGTTGATGGACATTTGGGCTGTTTCTACATTTTGGCTATTAGGAAAAACGTTGCTCTTCTTAATGGAGATTTGTATGAGGTTTCCAAAGTCATGAAAAGATAGTTGCTAGATTTAGTAGCTTTTTATAGTAGTATTTTTTTCCCCATTCATTTTCAGACTCTCTTGGAAGTTTAGGATATTTCACACTTCTGAATGTTAGCAACTGAAAATGCCAGTAGACGATGAAGCATCTGAAGATGACTCGGATTCAGTTTCCACAAACAGTGAAAGAGCCTTTATTTTCAAATAGGAGAGTGTAACAATTTCTGTACACTATGGAAGATTTTGACTTGGTGAAAACCTTACAAAAAACTTCATCTTCTGTAGAATCTGATATCAAAAATTCTACCCATTCTCTTGGACTGAACTTAAATACTAATAGGTAAGAATGGGATATATTTTTTAATGTAACAACAAATCAAAATAACTTTATTTGAATAGTTTACTAGTTTATCCAAATAGTGTCATAGTTATTGAATTTCATTTTTTTAAAAAAACTTATCGGGAACTGTTTGGAGACAGTTATTTAAGAATAGTTTTAGTCCTTCCATGTTTTTAATTTCTCCCAGTGATATGTCCTTTTGCATGGGGAACATAGTGAAAAAGTGCTTGTTTTGTTGGTTGTAGTTTCCTTTACACTTTTTTTATTCTTGATAAATGACGAGCATATCTTTAAAATTTAGTTGCCTAAATATTTCTTTTTAAAAAATTAGTAGTACACAGATCCCCATGCTGGCCAGCTGCCTAAATAAATAAATAAACAAATAAATAAATATAAATAAATAGTATGAGGGCCAGCCGGTGGCTCATTTGCTCATAACACCAATGCTGCGGGTTTGGATCCCTATATAGGGATGGCCGGTTAGCTCACTTTGGAGAGTGTGGTGCTGACAACACCAAGTCAAGGGTTAAGATCCCCTTACCGGTCATCTTTTCTAAATAAATAAATAAATAAATAAATAAATAGTATGAATAATGTTTTATTGCAAGAATACCTCACCAATCTAGAAAATAGCAATTAAAATTGAATATTAGGAAGTAAGCAAAAAACAGACTCTAAGTCAACACAAAATAGATCTTATCAAACAATGCATTTTATTTTTAAACTATCCCATGATTGATTTATTTTTAATCCAAGCCTGTTTACTGTCAATTTGCACATAGTCTGACAAACTTGATTATTTGTTTTCTAAATTTATACTAGCTTAGAAACAGCAAAGAGACAACCACCATTGGAGAGAGGGATCAACTGTAAAAAGCAGGTAGAAGAAAGCAAAAGCATAGCAGTTTGGGACCCACTGGTAAAGGGGCAGATAGTTTTAAACACAATAGGCTTGAAGAAATTGTGTATTATAAATAAATTACTTTAAAAAATTGTTCATTCTGTGCTCTCTTCAGGAGGAATTTAATGCAGCCCATGAGAATATATAAAGTTAAACAAGAAAGCATAAAGTAGGGTGACAGAAAATTCTTAAAAGCAGGGAAATGGTCTAAAAGAGATATCTGCTACAGTAAGTGTCTGCTACAGTATTCCATATGTACTTATATGCACTTGCTGAAAGTTGGTCACAGATTTTGCTTGCTGTATCTCTAGGTGGCCCCTTCGAAGTCTACTTATAAAAGAAATTCCTTTTGGAGTGTAGTGTTTGATTTGCCTGGAGGAGCTTAAATGTGCCTTTCTAATGAAAATTATGTAATTGAACTTGTCTCCCTTTTCATTATGACTGGCAGTAAAATTGGCCGTATTTGAACTCAATTATTACAACTATGTAAACCCCTGTGTACAACATATTCTTTTTTCTCTTGAATTTTTTAATTTTCTCTGGTTCTAACTCTTTATTATTTTATTGTTGATTTCATTAGTGTCCTCTTTTTACAATTTTTTTTTTGTGAAACAAAGCAGGATATCAATAAATAAATGAAAATGGTCTGTCAGTCACTGGATTTTAAACAAATTTTAATGTCCTGAATTCGCTTTGCGTGTTTATAAAACAAATTTGAAATAAACTCGTCTCAGGTTTGGAAAAGCAGCCCTCTTGGAAGAATCAGTGCTATTTTACACATTAAATAGGCTAAACAAGTCATGAATATTTGCTGCTAATGTGCTTGACACAACTTTTAGTCAAAGATAATGCGGAGGTAAGCATCAGCTTATCACACCAAATTAGGGGGATCCAATTAACAAGACAACTATAATTCTGGGCAGCAGAGAAAGAATCCCCACTACACAATGAAGGTCTGTTCTTAAAGTGGGGTGAAATGATCCTCTGGAATAATTTAGGTCAGAGAAACTGGAAATTTTTCTTACTATTGTTCAGCACAAACCTTTTTATTTTCTGCTGATACTTTGGAGTGTTCTCTCACTTCTGGAGAAGGTCTTTCTCTTGTGTTCTTAAAAAAATAAAGTGCTATCTGTCTTTTTACTGCTATTTTTCTTCTGTGGACAAACTTGTGAGCAGATTTTCAATAAATGAGGTGCCATTAGAAGGATTAAATATCAGTGGTTTTGTATTGCTTGCTGTGCTAAATCTTGAACTGCTGAATTATTCAACACTTTGGTAGAATGAAGAAAACCATTTGAATTATTTATGTTTCAACAGAAGTAGTCCCCACCTTAGTACAAAGGGGATATCCTCTTTCTCAGGGAAGACCAGACCACCTGTAATTCAAGGTACAGTTGAAGTACTAACTTCTTTAATGCAAGAGCTACAAAACAGTGGAAAGACTGATTCAGAACTTTGGAAAAACTGTGAGGTATCTAGTTTTGTTTTATTTTCAGAATTTTAAAATAATTGTATTTAAACATACCTCTTCTAAACTCTAAATTATTAGAAATTTATGTTCTGAAGAGCATGATACTTACTATTACTTAAGTAAAGTGGTCAAATATATTAATTGGGAAATGATATTGAATGTGAAAAAATGATCAAAAGTATTTTTAACTATATATTAGTGATTAGAAATATTAATTTGTATATTAAATGTGAACTAAAACATTGTGTTCAGGGAACTGAGAATCCTAAAATTATCAAAATTATTACTAATACTAATGTTTTAAGTAAATCATATGGAATTTTCATCATTTTGAAAAACCGAATTCTACTTTGTAATTAGAACATTCAAAATATTTCAAATTAAGGCTTCATTTTAGTACCTTATCACATTCAGCTGTGGTACATTGTATTATACTGTTTTCAGGTCAGTGATTCTTTGGTCCATAGGTTAAATTGTGATGTAAAAATTTAACAGTTAAAAGAATACATATATGTAAATTTTGTTTCATAGAATAATACTCAAGATAGACTCTCCTAAGGCTAGATTTGGTAATCCTTTATAGAAATATATAAAACATTATTGTTATTAAACTTTTCACTTAGAGAGAACTAGATTTTGCTTTAAATGTTAATCATACTTTTAGTACCATAATTTGTGTTATTTTTCAGCATGTAGACTAAGTGGAATGAATGATTACCTGGTTTAAGAATTCAGTAACAGCTACCCCTAAGTGTAATTACTTATATTCATTATCCATAATTATTGAAATTATAAAAATGAGTATTATTACATACTTTAAAAAAATCAAATTTTCAGTTTTTATGCTTTTTATATTTTTTCTGTATAACAGTCAGTATGTACTAATGCAAAAGACTTACAAATGCCATTGTAAAAGGATGCAATTAAAAATGGAACGTTTTATTGTTTCCCCTAATGTATCTATTTATTAGCTTATGATGCCTGAATTAGTATGCTTTAAGACAAATGAAGCATTGCCACAATGTAGTTTAACTCCTGGTAAATTCATGTTTAACTAGAAATTGTTACTTTTAATACTTTGAAATCAACATCTTAAGTCAGAATCAAAATGTATTTGTGAATTTAATGTATAGATTTAAAAAAGCCAGAATACTAACCAGCTACTTCCACCTTTTAACATTTGAACCTGTTTCTTTCTGCCCTTTCTTCCCCTGTGATGTAACAGACCATTTTTATTATGTTTAGTAATAATTGACTACCTAATATTTGTAATGTAGTCATGTAATTGATTATTCAATGCAGAGCTGCTTAAGATATTTCTTACTTTGAGAGAATATTGAAGTATACTTCTGGCCATATCAGTAAAACTTCTTGAATTTATTTAGCATGTTTTTGTAGCACATGAAAAAAGGAATCCTCTGATATTTTACTGTAGTGTTTTAGAAAGAATGGGAGGAGTAAGGATCATGCAAATCTTAGCCTGACTTTCTTCCCTGGATTTATATTTTCATCTCCCTTTTGGAATAGCAATGTTTTTCTGATTCTTACTACTTGTAAGGGACTAATCTACATTATTAAAATAAAATGCAAAACCTTCCACAATCTGAGCAGTTAAGAGTGAGGGAGTTTATCGATTTCTTTAGGATTCCTTTATAAAACCTCTCTGCTGGAATTCTTAAGTTTTTATCACTGCTTAAACTCGGGAAGGTTATATATTTTAATAAAATCAAAGGAATCTTTTAACGCTTTTGCACAGAAATACTTTAATACGTTCTTAAATCCTTGCTATTGCTAATATTTCTGTGACTGTAAGGAATTTTTAAAGCACATCATTAACTAATTTGTTTTTAGTAGTTATTTTAGCCTTTTAACAGTGCTGATTATGTATAAAATAGTAATGGCTAAAGGATAATAATAAAATAATGATAGTATCTACCATATATTGAGTGTCTATTTGCCAGGTAGTGTACTAGACATTTTTGTTAGTCGCATTCAAACTTATTAGACCTAGAGCCCTCTTTTTGTACTTTTGTGTTCTTTCCACATAACAATCAGTATTTTTAATAATTTTATAAAAATTGTTTTATAATAGTTTTTTTTTTTTTTTTTTTGTGACTGGTAAGGGGATCGCAACCCTTGGTGTGGTGTCGTCCGCACCGTGCTCAGCCAGTGAGGGCACGGCCATCCCTGCATAGGATCCGAACCCGCGGTCTCAGCGCTCCCAGCACTGCTGCGCTCCCAACGCCGCACTCTCCCGAGTGAGCCACGGGGTCGGCCCTATAACAGTTTTTAAAATAACGTCAACTTATATCATCCTGAAATGCAATTTACACCCTGTGTAAAGTATCCACTTGAAAAAATTAGTATAATATCTTTTTTTTTTTTTTTAAAAGATGACCGGTAAGGGGATCTCAACCCTTGACTTGGGGTTGTCAGCACCAAGCTCACCCAATGAGCTAACCGGCCATCCCTATATGGGATCTGAACCCGGGGCCTTGGTGTTATCAGCACCGCACTCTCCCGAGTGAGCCACGGGCCGGCCCCTAGTATAATATCTTAAATGTGATATACAGGAGAAATAAAAGTTACTTATAGTAAAAGAATATGTATTTTAAAAACAAGTGCTCAGGCACGTCTTCATTAGAAGACATAATGCAGTAGTCTCGTGTTTACCTATGTGTGGCCTCACTATGAATGCAGCAGCTACAAACACCAATTGATACAGCCATGATATGTTGAAGATCTAGATATCGTGAGCAGCACCTCAACTGGTGCCACACGTTTCTGAAATGGAGACGAATTTCTGATGAAATTCTGAAACAAACTTATTTGTTTTTGGTGATATGAAAACTGTGCAAAATATTTATTATTTTCATAGTATAAAATGGACACAAGACAATTCTTTACTGTGGGGGACTGTCATATGATTTGCATCCGTGGACCCTGCTCACTAGAGGCCAGTGGTGCCCCCCATCTTCGTAATGACCGTGATCTCACATATTTCCAATATGCAGTTCCCTCCCCAATGAGATTATTGCTTTATGTGCATCATATTTAAATTTAAAATTTAATCCTCTCAGCCACCTATGAAGTGTTATTATTCCCATTTTATAAATTAGGGAACTGAGGTACAAAGAAATGAAATATATTTGTCTAGGAACACACAGGTTGTTAGTGCAGAGCTGGGAGTCAGATGTAGGATTTTAACACACATGGGATATTTAGTAGGTAAGACTATAGAAATCACATTCAGGCTATGGCATCAAAAACTGGGTGGAGGGAAAAACTTTAATTAGATGTGCATATCCTCCAACAATATGTTAAATGCAGGCAGTATAAACCATTCTAGTTTGAAATGAATAATAGCCCTTCTTAATAATTAAGTGAATAATGTTATTCATTGTGTTTATAATATTCTTAAATAAGTTTATTTAAAATTAAAATATTAATTATAAAATCTGACAAGAGGGCTGGCCAGTTAGCTGAGTTGATCAGAGCACAGCCTTATAACACCGAGGTCATGGGTTTGGATCCCCATACTGGCCAGCTGCCAAAAGAAAAAAAAAATCTGACTAGGATGAACAAAATCTTCACCAATTTATATACTAAGTAAGCTTTATTCATTTGTATCCTAAATAAGAAAACGATAACAAAGATGTGATTATTATCAAGTGTCTCACATAATATAAAGCCATTTTTGTTATGTAATTTGTTATTATGTAAACAGTAACTTTATCAGGTTAAGAATCACCCCTAATGGGCCGGCCCGGTGGTGCACTGGATAGTGCGCCATTTGGGAAGTGCGGCGGCGCTCCCGCCCGAGGGTTCGGATCCCACGTACAGACCAGTTCCCGCTCACTGGCTGAGCGAGGCGCGGGAGCAGCACCGAGGGTTGCGATCCCGTTGCCGGTCCCCGGTCCGGTGCGGGGGCACCACTGAGGGTTGCGATCCGTTGCCGGACACGGAAAAAGACAAAAGACAAAAAAAAAAAAAAAAAAATCACCCCTAAAATGTTGCTTGGGTTTAGTGTGACTTAAAAAAAAAACTATGTTGCCTAATTTTTTTTTTTTTTTTTGTCTTTTGTCTTTTTCCGTGTCCGGCAATGGATCGCAACCCTCAGTGGTGCCCCCGCACCGGACCGGGGACCGGCAACGGGATCGCAACCCTCAGTGGT